ATAATTTCTCAAGAGGCTTTCCTACGATCTTTGAACAGATTTTAATCTGGTTCATCAACTTTGTTTTTAGACTCACAGACAGACTCATATACCATACAGAAATACAACACTGTAGAACACTCATAAGTATAGAGATAAAAAAAAAAAATCAAGAATCTTTTTAAGTTGTGGATTCCACTATTCTCGCAAAATTAGAACAACTATCAAGTAATCATCTTTTATTTATTCATTCATTCATTTTCTTGTCGGCTTAGTCCTTTTATTAATCCGGGGTTGCCACAGCGGAATGAACCACCAACTTATCCAGCAAGTTTTTACGCAGCGGATGCCCTTCCTGCCACAACTCATCTCTGGGAAAGTAATCGTCTTTTACATTTTTAAAAATGAATCTAGCTGAAAAAACGTTTTTTATGAAATTGCTGCTGACTTCGTTTTTCTTTACGCTACTCAAAACTATGAATTACAGTGATTTTTACCAGGGTTGAAGGGAAGGTTCTGCCAAAAATTTTAATTTACTCTATTTACACCACCCGCTTCAAATGTTATGACTCGATTGAATGGGCATATGGGCTGAGACGGCTGTTATCATCCATCCACATGGTTAATCAGCTATACTAATAGAGAAGACTCCAGATCCAGATCTGTTTTTGAATTACTGTGATGGTTCGGTTTAGTGTAGGGGTAGACGTTAATAAAATACAATTATTGTGAAATTTAATAAATAATTCTTGTTAACTTCCGGCTGCAGCCGTATGTGATCTAGCTGATCAACCATGTGGATGGATGATTGCAGCCTTCTAAACCTACCAGTAGGCGCAGAAGGCCCCTACTGGCCCATATCAGCTGATAACCCCTGATATCGCCCATTCAATCGAGTGAAAACATTTGAATCACCTGATTTACTCACCCTCAAGTGATTTCGAACCTTTATGAGTTTTTTGAAACTGAATTTTCTGTCTTCATTTACTCATCGTTCACTTGTTTTTTCTTCTTTTTTCTTCTGTTGAACACAAAATAAGTAAGTAAATATGTAAACTATAGTAACTTCCTTTGTAGGAAAACAAATACTATGGAAGTCAATGGTTACAGGTTTTCGGCATTTTTCAAAATACCTTCTTTTGTGTTCAACTGAAGAAAAAAAGTCAAACATGTTTGTAACATTTGAACGAGGAGTAAAAGCCTTTCACCAAACTATCCCTTCAACTGCAGCCTGTATCTTGGTTGGGAATGGAATTTTTGTACCTACAGTACACTACGAGCCAAAAGTCTTGTTGTTGATCCCAGTTGTAAGAGCAACAAATAATAACTTCTATTTGATCATTTGGAAAAGTGTCAGAAGGTAGATTTTTCTAATGAATCATCTGTTGAACTGCATCCCAATCATCACAAACACTGCAAAAGACCCATTGGAACCCACATGGACTCAAGATTCTCACAAAAATCAGTCAAGTTTGGTGAAGAAAAAATCATGGTTTGGGGTTACAATTAGTATGGGGGTGTGCAAAAGACTTTTGTGCCGCCCATTACATTACAGACCACAGGAGAGAGCAAATTATTCAGCAGGATAGCGCTCCTTCTCATACTTCAGCCTCCACATCAAAGTTCCTAAAAGCAAAGCAGGTCAATGTGCGCCAGGATTGGCCAGCCCAGTCACCAGACATGAACATTTTTGAGCATGTCTGGGGTGAGATGAAGGAGAAGGCATTGAAGATGAATCCAAAGAATCTTGATGAACTCTGGGAGTCCTGCAAGAACGCTTTCTTTGCCATTTCAGATGACTTTAATAATAAGTTTTTTGAGTCATTGCAGAGATGGATGCAGTCCTCCAAGCTCATGGGAGTCATACACAATATTTCTTTATCCACTGCACCATGACTTTATATTCTATACTGGACGTTATTTATGTTAAATGACTAGACTTTTGTCTTGCAAAGTCAGACCTTACTGTCCTAATTAAATAATTAAAAATTAAGACATGATCATATTTCATTTTGGTAAAGTAAGCGTAATCTAGAGGCCTTTGTCTTTCACATAAGCCACTTCTGATCCAAAGTGATCAACTAGAAGTCAAGTTATTATTTGTTGTTTCTAAAACTTGGATAAGCAGCAAGACTTTTGTCAGGTAGTGTACTGTACTGTACAGAGATGCCAGGATTTCACTTGTTTGAGGTGGTTTGTACTAGTTTGCATGATGTCAGATACATTAGGTCTTTAAACACCTAATCTGTTTTAAAGATTCTTCTTGAACCACCTCGGGACATCTCAGTTGTGCATTGTTTTTGGGACTCTGGGAATTCTCTGGTTACTGTGGAAACAGACCTCAGGGGCATATATAGAATGATGGAGCGAATGAGCAAAAACAAGAGTGAGAGAATGTCATCAGAGATGCTGATGAAAGAGCTAAAAAAATGTTTCTATTATTTCTAATGTTGCATGACATCTTTCTGTCAGTTACCGTAGTAACCAACTGGCAAACAGTGGGTTTAATTTACGTCACTGCAGCCTATTCATACACTTAGGTGAAAGAAACTATTTATAGTGAAAGAAAAACGTCGGATCGGTTGAGATTTTTTAGGCAAAATGTACTAAACCACTCTTATGGTTAGACTTTTTTTCTTCATTAATATTTTAAATGTACAGCTATTTCTCCTGATACAGTGCTCAGCATAATTGAGTACACCCCATTTTGGAAATGAATATTTTTATCCATTTCTCAGTGAATATAGGCAATGTACTTTGCTGCATTTAAACAAAACAAATTTATTAAACAGATATAGTTTTTAAAATAATATTTTATTTATAATATTAATGAAAATTAAATATTATAATAATAAATAATAATATATTGATAATAATATGTTAATATATATTATTAATAAAAATATTTAATAAACATATTCATTTATTAAAATAGTATTTTGGTCGCCAAACATGATATTTTATTCACCAAATAAATGTTTTTACCCATTTCTCAGTGAATATAGGCAATGTATTTTGGTGCATTAAACAAAACAGATTTATTCAACAGATACATTTATTATTATAATATTTTACTTGAAGCATTGATGAAAAGTAATAAATATTATAAATAATATTATGTTGATAATAATTATAATATTCATATATAATATTATTTAAAATATTTATTAAACAGATATATTTATTAAAATAATAGTCCATTTATAATATTAATGAAAAGTAATACAAATTTTAATAATATATTGATGATGATAATAATAATATATTAATTTATAATATTAATAAAAAGATTGATTAAAAATATATATTAAAATATTGTTTGACTTATAATATTAATGAAAATAAATATTATAATTATAAATAATAATATATTGATAATAATAATAATATAATATATAATATTAATTAAACATTTACTAAACATATATATTAATTTTAATAATAATTTATTTATAATATTAATGAAAAGTAATAAATATAATAATATATTGATGATGATAATAATATATTAATATATAATATTATTAAAAAGATTTATTAAACGGATATATTTATAAAAATATTATTTTACTTTTAATAATAATATAATATATATAATAAATAATAATGAATATATAATATTGAATATATAATAAATAATAATGAATATAAATATTATAAATAATAAAATATTGATAATAATAAAAATATATCAAAATATAATATTAAAAAGATTTATTAAACAGATGTATTTATTAAAATAATATATTGGTCACCAAACATGATATTTTACATATTTTTATTCATTTCTGAGTGAATATAGGCAATGTATTTTGGTGCATTTAAACAAAACTGATTTTTTAGGCAGATATATTTATTAAAATAATATTTTATTTATAATAATAATAATGAAAAGTAATAAATATAATAATAATAAATAATATATTGAAGAATATAATAATAATATATTAACATGTAATATTAATTAAAATATTTATTTAACAGATATATTTGTAAAATTAATATTTTAGTCACCAAACATATTTAAAAATTGAAAGATAATACATTTCAATTCAAGCAGAATATTGCAAAAATTAATTACAACCTTTTTTGCTTCTCTTGATTTTTTATTTATTATTTTTCTTTAACATGTCAATTTTGGTGTACTAGTTTTTGGACCATTATTGTAAGTTATTTAGTTAGATAAGCTCCAGATTTGGCTTCAGTACTGACTAATCTAATGTATATGCACAAGTGTACAGCTTCCTATTAAAAATCTGATTTTAAAAGATTTGTGAGGGGTGTACTTGTATCCTGAGCTCTGTATGTCTTTTTTAAATGAGGTGATCTGAGCTGCTTCTACAAGAGATGTGCAAACGTCTATCACATGTGATGTCTAAAAATACGACAGCCCACCAATTCAATTCTTATACTCTATAAGCTCAATTCTAAGCCCTTCGGAGCTCTAATGGAATGCAGATATGAGATGGCCCGCATCACTCATTCCAGGGGCTTTTGCAGCAACTGGCCTTATGTTGCGGGGATTTGTAATTAGGCAACATTCACGACTATTATTTTCATGTCAGTTGGGTAATAAAGCACATATAGGCCACGGAACTTCAATAAACAAGCGCTTCGAAGCAATGGGAGGCCGAGGATAACAAAACGCGCTAAATATTTCCTTTAACGTGTCGCGTTCGCGTTTTTGCGCAAATAAATAAGGGCTTAATTCACATTAATGCGCACTATATTACGCGGCGTTTTAAAGAAAGATTCGTTTTACGCCGATAATCGCCGCGACTAAAGCGTGTTCACACACATGCACACGCACAGGCGATGAATAACAAAATGCACAGGCTCCTCAAAGTCATTACGTCGCTGTGCGCCTAAAGATGCTACTGCGGTCCGTCACAGGGAATCTACAAGGACGCGCATCTCCAAAGAAATGAGCGGATCCATACATTAAAGCCACATTTATCAAAACACCTCACATTCTGTATACAATTAACACGTACAGCTAGAGAAAAGCGATGTATTCTTACCTGGCGACTGTGTTGCAACGTCCCAAATCTTGTTAGTCATAAATTATAGGAAGCATTAGGAGATCCGATACACAAGGAATATCTTACATTCTCTGCCGTGCCAGACCCGTATCATTTTCGCGTGTTATTTGCATGGCGTAAATCGAGCGATGTCGCTGAAAAAAATGCTGTTATTGCTCTTCAGGCGAGCGGGCGCGCGCGCTCCAGCTGTCCTACCACGTCCTCTCTGACGCACGCAAGCACGCGATATGCGGCTCACCCCCGCGTCCTGTGTCCCGTTACACGACGAGAACAAAAACCCCACCTGCTCTATACCGTTAAACTACCCTCCATCTACGCCATGTTGATCATATAACATTGCTCCGTCACTAAAGGAGGCATGTTACATTGTAAAAAGACAATTGCATAATTGTGTGTGCTGTGTGGGTGTGCGCTCGGGATGGATGAAGGCACTGAAATGGTCAAACACCGTGTTTTAAAAGGGCTATGAAATTTGTTTGGATTCCACAGTTCCTGAGGGCTGCATACGGTTATATAGCTAACTTAAATAGTGCTTAAGGATGTACAAATATAAATGCCACATACACGATTGACAATATATGGATTATATAAGATTAAATCATTGCTGAACATCACAGAGTAGCCCATTTTGAGATTGTTTATCAACGTGCACCTGCTGATGTAATCTGATTGTATGATTTACTGATTGTGCGTTATTAAATTGTAAATAAAAAATATATAGATTTCTAGGATCAAGTCTTGCCATGTTGACAGCACATAATATTTGACTAGATATTTTTCAAGACACTTCTATACTGCTTAAAGTGACATTCAAAGGCTTAACTATAATTAGGTTAACTAGGCAGGTTAGGGTAATTAGACAAGTTGTTATATAATGATGGTTTGTTCTGTAGACTGCTGAATTTTTTTTTACCTTAAAGGGGCTATTAATTTTGACCTTAAAATGATTTTTAAAAAATTAAAAACTACTTTTATTCTAGCCGAAATAAAACAAATTAACTTTCTCAAGAAGAAAAAAATATTATCAGACATACTATGAAAGTATTTGCTCTATTAAACATCATTTGAGAAAAATATTCAAATTCAAAGGGGGGCTAATAATTCTGACTTCAACTGTATACAGTGATCAGCATAATTAAGTACACCCCGAGTGTCCTAATCATGCTGGCCACCATGTTAATAATAATGTTAATATTATAATAATGCTATTAATGTTTATTTTATGTGTTTACATGAAACTGATTCAAATCGTCCAACTTCTCATGATAATTTTAATATTGAGAACACTCCCCACAAATCTCTCTTTTAAATTAATATTTTCTATAGGAAGCTTTACAATATTATATTTGTCCATGAACATTAGATTAGTCAGCACTGAAGCAAAATCTGGAGCTAATCTAATAAAATAACTTACAATAACAGTTCAAAACTATCGTAGCCCGAATTTATGTTATAGAAAAATATTAAATACAATTTTTTTGCAATATTTCGCATGAATTTAAATGTATTACCTTTCAGTTTCTAAAGATGTTCTGTGACTAAAATATCATTCTAATAAATATTTCTGTTTAATAAATCTGGTTTGGTCAAATGCACCAAAACTTATTACCCATTCACTGAAAAATAAATAAAAATATTCATTTTCAAAATGGGGTGTACTCAATTATGCTGAGCACTATATACTGTATGTATTTGTTTGTTTATTTTATAGTTTCATCATCTTTATTGTGAGGATCTCGTTTTACATTATTTATTTAATTTTTTATTTTATGAATTCCCTAACTTAACAGCTTAATTATGCTGAGCAGTGTGTGTGTGTGTGTGTGTGTGTGTGTGTGTGTGTGTGTGTGTGTGTGTGTGTGTGTGTGTGTGTGTGTTTATTTATTCATTTACTTTTCGGCTTAGTCCCTATATTAATCCGGGGTCGCCACAGCGGAATGAACCGCCAACTTATCCAGCACATGGAGCACATACACACTCATTCACATTTATGCACTATGGACAATTTAGGCTGTACCCAATTCACCAGTACCGCATGTCTTTGGACTGTAGAGGAAACTGGAGCACCCGGAGGAAACCCACACGAACGCAGGGAGAACATGCAAACTCCACACAGAAACACCAACTAACTCAGCCGAGGCTTGAACCAGTGACCTTCTTGCTGTGAGGCGACAGCACAACCTATGCGCCTCTGCGTCACCAAATATATATATATATATAAATATATATATATATATATATATATATATATATATATATATATATATATATATATATATATATATACACACACACACACACACACAGTGCTCAGCAAAATACACCCCATTTTGAAAATGAATATTTTTATCCATTTCTCAGTGAATATAGGCAATGTACTTTGATGCAATTAATTCAAATATTTTTTCAATTCACCTTTATTTGTATAGCGCTTTTACAATGTAGATTGTGTTAAAGCAGCTTCACATATAAGATCTTAGTAAATTGAAACAGTGTAGTTCAACCATTTAAACAAAACTGATTTATTAAACAGATATATTAATTAAAATAATACTTTACTCACCAAACATATTTAGAAATCGAAAGAAAATACAATTAAATCCAAGCAAAATATTGCTAAAAATAAACCTACAAAATTTCAACTACATTTTTTACATTTGTATTTAATATTTTTGTATAGCATATACATTTGGGTGTACTCATTTTTGGACCATTATTTTAAGTTATTTTGTTAGATTATCTCTAGATTTGGCTTCAGTGGTGACTAATCTAATGTATATGCACAAATACAATATTGTAAAGCTTCCTATAGAAAATATTAATTTAAAAGACAGATTTGTGAGGAGTGTACTTGTATATGCTAAGCACAGTGTGTGTGTGTGTGTGTGTGTGTGTGTGTGTGTGTGTGTGTGTGTGTGTGTGTGTGTGTGTGTGTGTGTGTGTGTGTAAAACAAACAAACACCCTGACACACCTTAACATAGGTGTGCTCATTTTGGTACCCGGATGACCCCTTTTGAACAAGTATTTGTCTCCCTCCAATGGTTTTCTGACGTATTAACAAAACAACCATTTCACATGAAATGAATGCTTTGTACTCAACTTTAATAGAATCAGTTTGAGTGCAGATGTACAGTGCATCAGAAAATATCCATAGTGCTTCACTTTTCCCACATTTTTATGTTACAGCCTTATTCCAAAATTGATTAAATTCCCTCAAACTTCTACACACAATACCCATAATGACAATGTGAAAAAAGAATTTTTGAAATTGCTGAAAATTTATTAAAAAATAAAAAACCTGAAAAATCACATGTAAATCAGTATTCACAGCCTTTGCAGTGAAGCTCTAAATTGAGCTCGGGTACATTCTGTTTCCACTGATCATTCTTGAGATGTTTCAGCAGCTTAATTGGAGTTCAGCTGTGGTAAATTCAGTCGATTGGACATGATTTAAAAAGACATATGCCTGTCTATAAGGTCCCAGGGTTGACAGTGCATGTCAAAGCACAAACCAAGCATGAAGACAAAGGAATTGTTTGTAGACCTCCGAGACAGGATTGTCTCGAGGCACAAGGCTGGACAAGGTAACAGAAAGTATTTATGCTGCCCTGAAAGTTCCAATGAGCACAGTGGCCTCCATCATCCATAAGTGGAAGATGTTTGGAACCCGATCATGATGGCTATGTTCCATGGTTTAGAAGGTATATGATGGCGGTAAATATTTTACTCATTTTTGGGTAGTTGGGGAATTCATAAAATTAAAAAATGTGATCCTCAAAATAAAAATGATAAAATAAACAAACAAATATATACAATATACAGTGCTCAGCATAATTGAGTACACCCCATTTTGAAAATGAATATTTTTATCTATTTTTCAGTGAATGTGGCTAATGTATTTTGGTGCATTTGAACAAAACAGATTTATTAAACAGAAATATTTATTAAATGAATATTTTAGTCACAGAACATCTTTATAAACTGAAAGGTAACACATTCAAATTTATGCAAAATATTGCAAAAAAATACAAACTTCAATATTTCAACAACATTTTATACATTTTTGGTTTCTCTTGATTATTGCTATTTTTGAAAATTGTATTCAATTTTTTTCTATAACAAATTTGGGCCACTAATTTTTGAACCATTTCTGTAAGTTATTAGATTAGCTCCAGATTTGGCTAAAGTACTGACTAAGCTAATGTTTATAGACAAATTATAAAATTGTAAAGCTTCCTAGAAAATAATAAATTAAATGAGAGATTTGAAACGAGAGCACAAATTCAGCTTCAATCAGAAGAAGTGAGTTTTGCATGGTTTTATTAATATCAATACTTGGTCCACCTTTTGCAGCAAAAAGCTTTCTTTAGATACCTTAAAGCAACACGATTGTGTGACTGGCTTAGGCCTAGTTTATTGTTTGTACGGAAAAATACATAAACCCTATTGTGATGGCTATATGTTCCATGCTTGAAAAAGCATATGATGACTTTGTAAATATTAAATTCGTTTTCGTTTCTCGTTTTCGTTTCTTTGTGGATTCCTTAAAAAACTGAAACTTCTTATACCAAGTGTCCTAATAATACTAGCCACCACTGTATATGACAATGATTTGCAACGACAATTCTCAACAGAGCTAGTCTTGTTGTACGTTCATGTAAATGCATTTTTTTCTTGTCACTATTCTCGTTTTACATCAGATTAGAAACAGGAGAAAAGCGTGTGTGTGAGTGGGAGGGAGATAGGCGTGACATCAGAGCGCGCAGCATCACTGAATGCAGGGCATCATCCCCACAGAGAAAGACAGCAGCGCCTCCACGCCCAGTAAACACCACCAATGCTGCTGAACATGAGGTAAGATTTAAGCTAATTATGTTTATTAGCCTGTGTGTTAAGTAGCGAATGATGGATGAATTATAACGGATGCATGTTTGCGGGTATTTTTGCGGTAAATCTAACGGCATTCTTCGCGGTGCGTCCGTGAGACGTGACGAGGTCCTGATGAGAATATTTATGAGGGCGCCAGAGAGGTCTGCTCACCACAAGCGTTTTCCCACGAATCTTAAACTTTAGCGTGTCTAAATGAGATTAAAATGATTCTGTCTAAGAGCAAGTGTTGTTGATTTGTATATTTGAAGAACGTGCTTCCTCCGTCTTGTTATCTCAGGTAAAAAAATTCAAGATCAAGGTCAACATAAAAACGCCAAGGATAGCCTATCTGCCAGGCTATAAAACCCTGAAAGCTAAGGGTCAGCGTCTTTTTCTTGTTCAAGTTATTAAGAAAGCTTTCTAAAAGTAATTTGAATCATTTGATGCTCGCAGAAGCAACAAAATGATTTATGTATCTCGGCCTCCGTACCGTCAATATTCATGAGCACAAAGAAAATGTGCCGATAATTCGAGATGCGTTATTAGGTTTGTATGTGTGTAGTTTTTTTTTTTTAGGAAATGGCGTCATATATTCTGAATTAGACGTGTCTTAGTGAACGTCAAATCTAAGATCTAGTAGCCTAGAAGCTTTAGCAACATTTTTATATATCCCGTAGAGCTAGTCTATAGCAAAAAACCTGTATGGCGAGATACAGTAAATGGCGAATGCAGATGTTGTTTTAAAATTGCCATTTTTATAAGGCCAGAATCATTAGCCCTTCTAAATTATTAGCCCCCCTGTTTATTTTTGTATTTTAAGATTTTTTTCAACACATTTCTAAACATAATAGTTTTAAAAACTAATCTCTAATAACAGATTTATTGCATCTTTGCCATGATGACAGTAAATAATGTTTTACTAGATATTTTTCAAGACACTTCAATACAGCTTAAAGTGACATTTAAAGGCTTAACTAGGTTAATTAGGTTAACTAGGCGAGTTAGGGTAATTAGGCTAGTTATTGTATAATGATGGTTTGTTCTGTAAACTATCAAAAACAAATATAGCTTAAAGTGGCTAATAATGTTGACCTTAAAATTGTGTTTGAAAAATTAAAAACTGCTTTTATTGTAGCCGAAATAAAACAAATAAGACTTTCTCCAGAAAAAATATTATCAGACACACTGTGAAATTTTCCTTGCTCTGTTAAACATAATTTAGGAAATATAAAAAAAAAAACAAAGGGGCTAATAACTGACTTAAACTGTATATTGTCATAGAAATTACACATTGCACTATTGTATCTCCCTCAGTGGGTTTATTTGTATTGACCACACTCAAAAAAAAATATTTCTGCAAAATTGTTGCAGATTATTTATATTGGTTGAATTTAAACAAACAAATTAAATTTAGTAATGTTGAACTTAATTTGTTTGTTTAAATTCAGCTTAAATAAATTGTTTTATTTATGTTTATAACTACTTAACTTAAAACAATTTAGTAAATCCAAAGAATATTTTTTTTTTCAGTGTAGTTTGACATTTAAAATATTTTAAATGTGGAGTGTAAACAGACATAAAAACAAAGTCAGCTGAATACTGCATATTACCTAGAATAGCTTATAATGATAAATTAAAACCTAAGAGAGTGTATGCCTAAGAGTAGGGGAAAAAAGGTAAATAAAATGCACATGGTACAGCATTTGTACCTGATAATGATACCATTATCCTTTAGTGGAATGGACAAAACTCACAACAGGGTAAAAAATACACATCTTCAACGAAATTTTAGATGTTTATTGTGAACACCTAAGCTTAAATTCATTCTAAAAACCATGTACGGACTACCGATGTGTTGATTTAGCATACTGCAGGCGGATGTTGCGGGTTAGTCTCTCCAAAAATAAATATATAATTATTAAAAACAAGAACTGCTTATGTAATGTTTTATGAGTATTACAGAAAGTGACAGCCATTATGTGATGTTGTAAGTAGTAAAACCTTTCTGGCTATTCAGACACAACACAAGATGGTGGTGCTCCATTAACTAATGTTTTTGCTGTGCCATTTTATTGTAAAAAAAATTAAAATAATAATAAATAAATAAAAAATGAATATAATTACACATGCAATATACAAACAGTGCAAAAATCAGACCACTTAACTTTTTATTATTCCGATGGGTTGTACAACTGCTGGAAAATTAGATTGATTTTATTTTAGAAAGCTTTTCTTTCTTTCTGTATTTTGTTCAAATGGAAAGTCTGTGAGTTTGTTAATGTTTGAAAATTTTCTTCATTAGCGTACACTATATAGATATACCATGATGCCTTTAAATGTTTTGTGATCAGCACTGATTGATGTGTCCTGTGAGATATATTTCCAATGACAGACAAGGGAGTACTCTGATCATTAGCTGAAATCTGTCAGTGAGACTTCTGTAATTTCTTTATTGCACAATATGGATCTTTGTGGCACACTTTCAGAGCTTTAAAGCAATTTTCCAGTCCTCTGGGGTGTTGTATTTCTTGCAGAACCAGATTTTAGCACTGAGATGTAGCATACAGCAGGATTAGCTTTAAAAGAAATGCCTTTGATTGGTCTAAATAATTCAGTCTACCAGTTTTAAAAGGTGTATCTGCTTTGATATAAATTATACAGTCAATGAAATATGTGACTCATTCCTCTTGGCAGATCAGTGAAGTGCCTGAATTTATAAGCCACCATTTTATACGAACCGTGCACAGTAAATGGCAATACTTCTTTTAAGAAACACATGACCTGCTAGCGGAAATGGGATTCTCAGGCATGGTGCCTTCCTTTGCAGGTGCTGTTTCCTAGGTAACGAGACGGTCTGGGAGCGAAGGGTTGTTGTGAGATGTGGTCAGGGAAGGGGAGGAGGGGGGGGGTGCGTCCTCCATCTTCTTTGTTCCCATTCCCGCTGCTTGTGGCCTACTTTAGTTCATCGTATTTGAAACCTAAGCTCGATTGATGGTTGAATGCAATATTTATTGCTTTTTCAAAATGAAATACATGTAATATAATAGATGGGGAGAAATTCTGTTCCATTTTGAGAGCCAAAATTGTACATGTACTCAACACATGGCCATAAAGCCAATATATATAATCTGAGACTATCTATCCACCGAAAGAATGAAGAGTCTGTATATTATATTATATTATATTATATTATATTATATTATATTATATTATATTATATTATATTATATTATATTATATTATGTTATATTATATTATATTATATTATATTATATTATATTATATTATATTATATTATTTTTATTATATTATATTATAAATTATTATATTATATTATATTATATTATATTATATTGTATTATATTATATTATATTATATTGTATTATATTATATTATTTTTATTGTATAATATTATATTATATTATATTATATTATTTTTATTATATTATATTATATTGTATTATATTAAATTATATTATATTTATTATATTATAGTATATTATATTATATTATGTTATAATTTATTATATTATATTATATTATATTATATTATATTATATTATATTATATTATATTACATTATATTATATTATATAAATTAATAACCAAAAAAGTTGTATTATTTATACATTCATTTTCTTTTCGGCTTAGTCCCTTTAAAAATCCGGGGTTGCCACAGCGGAATAAACCGCCAATTTACCTAGCGCATGTTTTACACAGCGGATGCCCTTCCAGCTGCAACCCATCTCTGGGAAACATCCAAACACACTCATTCACACTCATACACTACGGACAATTTAGCCTACCCAATTCACCTGTACCGCATGTCTTTGGACTGTGGGGGAAACCGGAGCACACAGAGGAAACCCACTCAAACTCCGGGAGAACATGCAAACTCCACACAGAAACGCCAACTGGCACGAACCAGCGACCTTCTTGTTGTGAGGCGACAGCACTACCTACTGCGCCACCGCATCGCCAAGTTGTATTATATTATATTATATTATATTATATTATATTATATTATATTATATTATATTATATTATATTATATTATATTATATTATATTATATTATACTGATAAAATGCTTTCAGTGAGGTTGTTTGCTGATCTTTCCATCATTTGTATTCTTGTAGTGTGTTTGTCCGCTATTTTGTGAGCTTGACTGAACTGATGAGCCTCAGGCTGTTTTTATATCACAATTAGAGAGTACTTTAGGACACAGAGTCACCGCCACATGTATGAGCCACTCACACAACATCACTGATTCTCTGTTGACTTGAAACTGGAAATGTGGCTTCATATGTGAACCGCGATCACAAAACCTTAGTCTTAAAATATGCACAGATATATTTGTAGAAAATATGATTAGGATTAAAAATATCAGGTTCAATGAACATATGTAGTACTTTTCTTACTCTAAATATATACAAACTCAATTTTTGATCAGTAATGTGCATTGCTATGAACTATATTTGGACAAATGTAAAGGCAGTATTTTTTTAACCCTCAGATTCCAGATTATCAAATAGTTGCATATTGACCAAACATTCTCCTCCTAATCAGGTATACATCATTGGAAAGCTTGTTAAATCAGCTTTCATGTAATGTTTTAATGTCAATTTCCAAAAATTTACACTTATGATGGATGATATATACCTTCCTATATATATACATTTTGGGGGCCATCAGAGACATTATCAAGGGCTCACAACTTTGGCTTAACTAGGTTAATTAGGTTAACTAATAAGGCAAGTTATTGTATAATAATGGTTTATTTATACAGAATTATTAGCCCCGTTTATTTTTCCCCCCAATTTCTGTTTAACGGAGTGAAGATTTTTTCAACACATTTCTAAACATAATAATTTTAATAACTCATTTCTAATAACTGATTTATTTTCTCTTTGCCATCATGACAGTAAATAATATTTGACTAGATATTTTTCAAGACACTTCTATACAGCTTAAAGTGACATTTA